CAGGATATTTTGTACATTGCCAGATATCATTATTGAATAAACCACATTTAAAATGTAAAAGCAATTCTCACAACAACACAAACACTAGGAAAAAAAAAAACAAACAAAAAAACAAAAACCCAGCCAACTCCAGTCCTACGGATGCCACTACAAAAGCTTTGCATCATCAGACTGCCTCACCTCCATGAAATGCACAAAATGGAGGTGTAATGATTAAACACAGATCAACCAGGTCTCCCGTTTCCGAGCTGAGCCAAGTTCTGCGAGGGGTAAAGGAAACCAATCTTCCAGGTTTCTGAGTGCACACTCTCCCGAGGATCACCCAGGCTTTGGATTTGGCCAGGGCAGATCCTCCTCCCCTCTCACAATCTAGAGCAGCTCAAGAAATCATGTAATATATGCCATGCCTGCCATCAGTGGGTCAGCAGCCGAGGACTGTTGGCACACTACACACCTTCTGGGTCCTTCTTATCTCTTTTTTTCCCCCCTCCCTTCTCCACAACACTCTGGCATGCCACTGCGCTCTTGCAGATATTCTGGTCTCCAGACCTTTCTCCTGCTATTGGCACAGCGTACAGAAAAAGGGCTCTGGTCCAGAACTGGGGCTCAGAAGTTGAAAACAGGAGACAGGCACACAGTACAAACCCGGGGAAGAATGACTTTACAGTTGACACGACCTGAGAGACTGAAAAGCTTTGTCGTCTTCTCCAGCGTGGAAAATAGGCTTGCTGAAGTGATGAGCAATGAATGCCTCATTACAAAGTAAGAAAAAATAAAAGTGGAAGGTAGAGCTAAGAGAATAGAGGTAGCATCCCCCCCCCAGCAGTTTATCACCAACCTAAGACAACAGCGATGAATCATCTCAAACCTTGTAACACCCCAGGCCACTTTCGGTGACATTTTTCTTACTTTTGCACTGTCTTGTGCTGGAGCATGAACACCTGAACATGCTCTAACCGACCAGAGTGTCTAAAGAAGCTGGGTTCAAAACTCTTTGTTAGGAGAGGTTTTTAAACAGCAGGGAACCACAGACAGACACCACCATCAGCAGATTCCCACCAGAGATACAACAGTGCTCCTAACAAACAGAAGCATGCCAACACAAACCAAACGAGAGTGGCAGGACTACTGGACGTACCCATTATATAGCCACACCACCTCTTTCCTCATCAAAACCCCCATCTACTCCCAATCTAAACTAACAGGATCATATTCATTTTAGAGAGGAGGAATCTTGCCTCTTCCACTGTCCACTCTAGTCCCTTCTTCCTGTATACCCTCTGATCCTCTCCAACTGCTTTGCATCCTTCACCCTTACTTCTTTTCTCCAGGTGTGGACACACCCATTGGACCAACCTGAGGCTGCAGAAAGGTACTGAAAAAGAGGAGGAGGTTTGCTCCAGAAGAGGAAATTCCTATTTTCTTGTGTCCTTGTGGAGTCACTAGGATCTCTTTGAGGATCTGAAACTTACCCCGTTCTTTGGGATAAGTCACACGTGAGGGAAGGACACCAGAAGGGAGAGATGGAGGTGTATTTTCTGTCCTTTCCCTTTGGTGGATGAAATTTTAGTTTTCATATCCCGAAGCACACATTTTAACAGTCTGGGATTGCATGCAGCCTCATCTGGCCACCACCCTTGCTATCAAAAAGTGAGAGATCAATGATGTGCAGATGCCTTGGATGTGTGTCAGGCTGAAAGTAAGTGTCAGGAAACAGCCTTTCCCAAGGGAGCGTCCCAGAGGAGTGGGGATTTGTTGGGGTATGAGCTGGGTAGGAAGGGAAGAATTAGAATGGCTTTGGTGGGCTGAAATAGGGATTCTAAAAGGTTAAGTAACACATGTAAAAAAGTCCATAAAATCCTCCAGGATGACACACAAGAATTTCAGGATCAAATGGAAGGGATCACAGGACTTGGTCACCGCAGTGCCCTATCACCCTGATGCCCCAGAGGGTATTAAAGATGCATCTCTTGGTGTCCTGCTGCCTATGTGTTTTTTTGAGTGAAGCCCAAAAGGTGTTAGCAATGCTGGGGGTACAGGAGGCGGAGGTCTTTTTCCATCCCTTGCCAAGTGTTTTCCCTGACCTTACAACCAAAAAATAGTGCTGGTTCTGGATTCTTCAGTGTAAGTGATGAGCTTTGTGGGTGGGAACAAAACCTGGGGTTGGAGAGAGAGTGTGTGTGTGTGTAAGCGGGGGTTTTAACACCTTTTCTTTATTGTCCTGGTTGTCGGACACATCAAACCAAGCCCGGATTTCTCAGTTCCTTGCCATCAGATGATTGCATTTCAAAAGGAGCTGGGACAATGTAGCTCGGTCACACCTCAATTCAAGTGCAGCAATGTCCTGCCAATAGGGCAGGAATTATAAACATCTCTTAGGTTTACACAGAAAGTGGAAGAAGGAGGGGGGCAGGTGGGGGGGGGGGAATCCCATGCCAGAGGAGTCCATATTTCTCACATCTCAGGGCTGCATTCCCTGTCCGAGGGCACTCCAAGATGCTGAGAATGGTAACGTGCATCCATTATTCCCCGCTCCAGCTTCTTCCCTCCCTCCCTTTAAAAAAGCACACAAAACAAAAGCAGCCCCCCTCTTCCTGACCTTCCCATGCCCCCCCCCCAAAGAACGGGTGTCATGCCCCCCGCTTCCCAGCTAACTCCTGCTGTGGCTCAGGTGTGCGGCTGCCTGCTTAGACACAGGCAACACCAGGGAATGGAAAAGCTCATTAAAGGCAGCTCTAGGAGCGGTGCTAATGGGGCTCATCACCTCTGCGAGTGTATTTGAAGAGAGGGAGAAAGCTGCAGAGGGACAGCCGGCCTGTGCCCAGCACCTGCCCTGCTCCTACCTATTTTCATGACCCTCCCAAAGACGGAGGTGTTGTCCACCGTGCTGCAGTTCCACCGCCGCTGCCGAAACTGGTACTGGCACTCCTTGATGGCACTTCGAGCCCCTTCCCCGATGAACACCATGTGCTCCTGGTAGAGCTGGCAGAGCTTGCGCTGCCCGGGGGAGAGCCCCGGCAGCTGGCTGCACACCGGCTGAGCGCCGATGATGTACATCTCAGGCCTCTGGATGGGGTTCATGGCCAAAGACCTACGAGGAGAAAAACAATCCAAAGGGAGTTTGGAGGGAGAGGCCCCCTCCGCGAAACGCCCGGCACCTTTCCCCGCCAGCCCCGCTCCCAAAACCCGGGCGCGTTTCTCATGCCAGCTGCCTCCCCCTACGGCTCTGCCAGATGCGGGGCTTTCCCAGGGCTCTAGCGGGAGAAACTCGGCTCGTTTGTAACCCGAGTTTAAACACTGGGGACACCCGGGATGGGGAGGGGGCAGAGAGAAA